TGATTCATACCATGTGCATAAGAATTAAACTTGTGAATGAAGTTAAGTTCCAACCCTTCTCTGTGTATTTGGCTTGTGGACTTGGTCTGAAACAAAACAGCAATTTTGAGATCCATTAATGAGTGTTCAGGAAGATTAAAGTGTTCTCCAACAGGTTTTTGTGTGTTGCCTTTTCGGATATCTGATTTGTGTTCATTAATTCTTTCCCGTGGACACTGTCTAATTTGACCAATATACATTGCAGAGGGGCATTGCTGGCATTTGATGGCATAGATCACATTAGTGGATGTGCAGTTAAATGAGTCTGATTTGGTGGCTCATGTGGTTGGGTCCAGTGATGAAATCACTTGTGTAGATGTGTGGGCAGTGTTGGAACTGGGGCAGATGCAGGGGTGGGTTTCTGGATGATTATGATGGAGGTCTGTTGTGTGGTTACTGGAAAGAATTTATTTGAGGTTAGGGGGCTGTCTGTAAGCGAGAACTGGCCTTTCCCCCAATGACTCAGAGTGAGGGGTCATTTTCCAGGATAGGTTGTAGATTGTTGATAATGTGTTGGAAGAGTTTAAGTTGTTGACTCTAGATGATGACAAGTGGAATTCTGTTGTTTTGGGACTGTCTTGAAGTAGTTCATGTCTGGGTACTTTTTTGGCTCTGTCGATCTGTTTTTTCACTTTTCCAGGTTTTAAGAATGCTCTATATAGATCCTGTAGGTGTTTGTCTCTGTCTCTGGGATTGGAGCAAATACGGTTGTATCTTAAGGCTTGGCTGTATAAAATAGATTGAGAAACGTGTCTTGGACAGAAGCTAGAGGAATGAAGGTAAGTCTAGCAGTGATAGGTTTCTGGTATAGGGTGGTTGAAATTTGTCCATCATTTAATTGTACTTCAGTGTCAAGGAAGTGGATTTCTCGTGTGGACTGATCCAGGCTGAAGTTGATGGTGGGGTGGAAGTTGCTGAAATCCTTGTGAAATTCTTCAAGGGTCTCTTTCCCCTAGGTCCATATGATGAAGATATCATCAATGCAGGATAAGTAGAGTAAAGGTGTTAGGGGGCGAGAGCTGAGGAAACGCTGTTCAAGGTCAACCATAAAGATGTTGGCATATTGTGGTGCCATTCGGGTGCCCATGGCTGTGCCTTTGACTTGAAGATACAAATTGTCTCTGAATCAGAAGTAGTTGTGGGTGAGGACAAAGTTGCAGAGCTCTGTAATCAGGTGTGCAGTGCTGTCATCTGGGATGGTGTTCCTGATAGCATGTAATCCATCTTCATGTGGAATGTTGGTTTAAAGAGCTTCTACGTCATGGTGGCCAGTAATTTCAGGAAAATTACTTATGTTTTGTAGTTTTCCTCAGTACAGGTGCACAACACAAAATTCATTCTGCTCATGGGAGGAAACTTAGAGGGAACGCTTCCCTCTCCCCAGCCTCTCCACCCCCGCATTAATGTCACACACATTGGATTAATGCAATTGCAGGATAGTTGCATGGGGGAGCTGAAGGGGTCCAAACTCATCCCTATTGGTAGGAGGATGGTGGGAAAAGTCCTTGGGTCGGGGGTCACATAACACTTTTTACTTTTGGTCATGTGCCCATCTTGCCCGGAAAGGGTAACCTCCAGGGGCTTGGTTAATGGGGGGTCAGGAGTGTGGTTAGAGGAGTCAGGGGTGTGGCTAATGGGGGGTCAAAGTGCATTTTAAAAAATTCTTTGGGTGCACACCCTAATGAAATGTGCTGCACATGCCTATGGCTATGATGTTCATCTGTTTGCACTCCGAAAAGAAGATGATGTCTTTTTAGAAACAACACTACTGTCATCTGAAGAAGTGGGTTGTGCCCACGAAAGCTTATGATACCATCTACATGTTTTCAGTCTTTAAAGGTGCTACTAGATTATTTGTTGTTTTTAAAGTTTTTCCTGTTACAGACTAACTTGGCTACCCATTTGAAGCTTATGGACAATCAACAAATTAATAATCCAAATTGTAACTTTTTAATCCCATTTGTGGGTCCCAAAAGAACAGACCTGCACTGAATACAAGTTTCTACACGTGTACTGTCCCATCAGACACTCTGGTGGTTACATTACATTAAAGAATACTGCCTACAGAATTAATCAAGTGGTTTTCTTTAACAAAGTTGTGTGGCTTTTTTTGAAAATATTGCCTCCTATGGGATAGAAATTAACTTAGCCACATGATACTGAAATGGAAAAAGACCGGCTTACCTATATCATAAGAACATAAGAATGGCCACACTGGGTCAGACTAAAGGTCCATCTAGTCAAGTATCCTGTTTTCCAACACTGGCCAATGCCAGATACCCCAGTGGGACTGAACAGAACAGGGAATCTTCAAGCAATCCCTCTCCTGTCACCCATTCCCAGCCTCTGATAGAGGCTAGGGATACCACTCCTACCCATCCTGGCTAATAGCCATTGATGGGCCCTAACCTCCAGTAACAAGACTGCAACAATGCAAAGCAAGGAAATATGATGTTTTGCAATTGAAAGACAGGAGAAATCACACGTTTTATCAGCCAAGACTGCATAAAGAGTAGTGCCAAAAATGAACTCTTCAACTAAGTGACAATGCTGAGTCTGGGCTTTTCTTCAAATTCTTGCCCTTTTTATCATAGCCAGTTTTTCTTGTTATGGTACAGTGCTCAGAGCAATACTGGCAGACAAAGCTTCTTAAACCAGAGCAGACCTTGGCTGCCATCAGTTATTATGCCTAATGTTCTATTTGAAAAATGCCTGCCTCTGTGCTTCTAAAATGGGCAAAGATTTACTTTTGGGGCATGCATACATTCTAATGTATTGATACATATTTTCTTTAAATAGTCCAGATAGAAGGGTTTAAAAACAGACAGATTAAGTAAACAGACCAAGCTTTTCAAAAGTGGCACCTCAAATTAAATGCCTAGTGCCCATATTTCATTACGAGAGGCAAATGCTCAGCTACCTACATAGGTACCTAAGAAAGAACTAGATGTCAACTTATTGAAAAGTTGGCCATAATGTTTAAAGTGCAGCTCTAATTGAAAAGAGAGGCTCTAAAATAGCACCGCTGAACTTATCATAGTTACTATGCCTGTGTGTTCAGAGCTATTTCTGCTGATTTTAGTGACTAAAAATGAGTTTTTACAATTTACTTCTATGAGTGCTGTGGAGTTAAGAATTGGGCTGCATTCTATAGGTTCTTGTATTTCAAACTCTTTAAGTTCCCACTGAAAACAACTGGGTTGCATGTGCCTCATTGCTGACCTAAGTAGAAGACAATGAAATTCAATGGGTATACCCGAAGGCATAATTTGGCCTGTAAATCCTCTCTTTCAGTTGATGAAGCATGAAATGGACAGAACCCAGCTTGACTTTATCATCCCAGCGTGAAGGAATGACATTTTAAAAAAAAAACCTCTGTATCTATTGGTGAAATGAGCAAATTAGAGCTGACATCATGTAGACAATAAATATGAAACCTCATAAAGCTATTTTAACAAAGTCACATTTCAGAGTAGAACCACATTATCACAAATTGATAAAATGCAGAGAGAATAAAGACTGCTACAAACCGCTTGAGCAAACTGTTTCCAAAAAAACATGACTAGGAATAAGTTTGAAGTCCTGGAAGTGTACCTCCTTTATACATCAGTAAGGATTAGTGTTCTAAGATGACCCATTCCAAATAATATTGTCAAGATATTTTAAGTCTTTATTTATGTTATGCATAATGGAAGATTATTCAAAGTGATAGAATTTAGAAAAAAAATATTAATTTTTCACCATGCATGCTAGACTTGACTCAGGTTGGACATTGGCGCAAGATGGTGGTCAGTTTTCCCTTCCAGTTCTTACACATATTGGCACAATGAAGTTGCTTTTGGGCTTCCCAGTCTTTAGGTGAATTATTAAATCTATGTACTCCAGACCCTGACCTAAAGCCCATTTAAGTCAATAGAAAGATTACTACTAATTTCAGTGGGCTTCGGATCTGGTCTGCAAAGACTTCATACAAAAATTTTTAAAAAATGGATGAAAATATTTCATTTCATATTAGGCCATGTAAAATCTCTAGTTTTTTTCTATTCTTTCCCAAAATTGTGCTCTGGGCCTAAATGAATTTACTTTGAAAAATTGATTGCTAAACAGTCTTAGTAAAAGAAAACAGTGTCCTGTTATATTTGGCCTGACCAACATAGAAGCAATATTCCAGTTATATACCATACATTATAAATTATATAGAAAACTTACTATGTATTTTACAAATGTGTATCTGCCTGCCTGCCTGCAAGTCTGTTTGTTCAAGAACCACTCCTAAACGGTAAGAGTTAGGGTCACCAAATGTGACATGCCACTTCCTGATATCATAACTTAAAGCAAGGCCAGGGTTTGGTTGTGCTGGGATAATAGGATGTGCATGGAAAGCAATTGCTTCATATCAAATGGAAAGGGAGGGGTCTGATAGCAGGGACAGTTATACTCACATATGACCACAGAGGGCCAGCAAGCACGGGGGACAGTTATACTCACAAATGATTGTGGGGGACCACCAGTGGGTGGCGTGGCTGGCCTCCCTGTCCTAGGCCAGCCTCGGGGAGTAGCTGGAGAGTGGGATGCATTCCGTCTGCCCTGCCCGGGCCAGTGCTGGCCCGGGGCAACACCAAATAAGTCTTCTAGTATCAAATAAATGAGAAAGTGGAGGTGGGGAAGGAGGATAGAAACCACACACAGCTGGAAGGATATGAAAGGCCTTTTAGAAGACTAAGAGAGAGGATTAAATATGGCAAAGGTGACTTTGGGAAAGAAAACACTGAAGAGCTTTTAGTTAAAAAAAAATGAAGGTCAGAGAACGTCAAGGACAGAAAAAAGAAAAGGTAAAGACTGAAGTTTTGGAGGAGGAGAACAACATGTGATCCCAAAAGGCCAAAAGTTAGTACCTCACAGTGACTGTTCAGAGAGAATCACTGAAGGACACAGAAAACCGCTAGATAATGAAAAATTACCTTCATTCCTGCCGCAGCTGCAGGACCACTGGGATCTACAGCTTGAATATAGCATGGCTTGCTCCCCCTCACAACAAAGCCCCATCCGACAGCATCGCCAACAACCTTGAAGAGGGGAAAAAAAGACACAACAGTATCCTTGTAACTCATGGGGTAAAGTTCAGATGGTTGAAGTCATGATTTCAGCATCTTGTAGTCATCAGCATACAGTACATGCAGCTCTGTGGAGAGAAATACTTTACAGTACAGGTTATACATCCCTTAACTGGGACTCTGGTCTGGCGACATCGGTGGTCTGGAAGGACCATGGATATTCCTGGACCACAGAGCCCAAGTATAGGGTGGTTGGGCCATGGGGCAGGAGAGTCAGGATGTGGAGATTCAGCAGGGAGTCAGGGTGTAGGCTGCAGGTGGCATGCCAGGGAGTTCTGGTTCTTGCAACCAGGCATACCCTGGCCCAGCAGCAGCAGCCGTGGAACTCTGGCCTCAGCTGTGGAGTTCAGGGGCCGGCAGCATCAGCTGAGGAGTTGCGGCCCCAGCCATGGAGGTTGGGGATGGCAGTGGCAGCCACGGAGTTCCAGCAGCAGTGGAGCTCTGGAAGTGGCAGAGCTCCAGCCCCAGAGCTTTATTCCCCAGCCATGGAACTCCGACCCCGGCAGCAGCCAGGGAGCGCTATCCCAGGCTGTGGAGCTCCAATGGTAGCCATGGCCGGGCAGGCAGCAGCAGTGCTGGGCTGGAACCTTAGCCGGGGACAGCAGGACAGGACAGGCCATGTTGGGAGGGACCTCCCCTAGACTGGCAAATTCCCTTGTTCAGGACTGGTTAGGTCCCGAGGGTGCTGGACAAGGGAGGTCCAACCTTTACCCTTTGCATGAACTATTAACTCTATAATTATGAAGAAAGCAACCAACTGAATGATTGCATTTGTGCCCACAGTACTTTTCTTTTTAAAGTTACATCAGAAATATAGACTAAAGGCTGTGAGAAGCCGTACTTCCAATTAATACGTTCAAAACAGCTACTTTTGAAACAAGGGGGGTTGGAGAGCACAGCGAGCCCGGGGCGCAGCCCCCTAGTCTCTTTATAATCTTAAGTATTAATAACAACACTTCAAGAGAATTTGTGCGTATTACTAGATTTCTGCCAGTGTAACTCTACTGAAGACAGTGTTAGACTCTCAGACTGATGGTATAATAAAGTGGAGAATCAGACTCCCCATGTATAAAACTAATATGAATGGAATCTTATGGTTGAGATTTTTAGAGCACAAGTATCAGAAAATGTAATTAGGATATAATTATACCATCAGAAAATATTGCACAATTCACATATAGAAGACAAATATGTACTGGAGACATACTGTGAATGTTTTTCTTGCATATGGGGCTCCAGGCATCAAGAGTTCATCAGAAGTCACCGGTCTTTTTAATACTGGAAAGACATATAAATGAGTATTAAGAAGAAACTTTCATAAAGAATAGTCTTCGCCTTTTTTTTACTTTATTTATAGGACTTAATATTTTAGTGTATGCCTCGGTAGATGAAAAGTTGTGAAAGATCATTATATTAAGAGCTTTGGGGATGAGTGATCTGACACCTTTGGCTAAACTGAGGTTTAGATAATTAGAATATTGGTATAATACATTTTGAAGTCATAAGTCAGGGCCTATGGAATACAAGTTTTAAAAATAGCTGTGTCTGTGCCAAAAGACATAAAGAGCTAGCAAGTGACCCAAAACCTGACCAGCTCTACGGGAAGGCTGATGTTCTGCAGGTTCAAAGCTATCATTCATATGAAATTTGAATAGACTGCTAATCGCAATAGTACATTTATGTATTAAAAATATTTCCATGAAAATTTTGAATGACTACATGGAACTTAATACATTATTAAGCTGGGGTTTTTTTTGCTTGACAATTCTGGTGCGGCTCTTCGCATTTTTTCCACCGCTGTTTTGGCTCTTTTTGTTAAATGGGTTGGCCACCCCTGAGATACAATAATACTAGTCATCCTAACTCTTCCTCAGACAGGGAGACAGATTAGATAACCTGTCACTACAGGAAACAATATTATTAGTATTTGTGCAGTCATTTACTCCTGAGTAAAGTATGAGTAAACACTGCAAAATCAGAACTGTAGATTTTAGACCCACATGGTACTAGTGTAAATGACTGCACTAAATGCAAGGCAATGGATAAACAGGCCCTCTATTTATTACATTTTGCTTCCTCTGTTTTTTTTAATTAAGACTATGTTTGTGTGTTGTTTTCAGTGATACACTTTCTGATTATATCTGATTTTCATACCATGGAAGCAAGCTGAAATTTTTCAGAGATAACATCCCACATATCTGTAAGGGTAGGTCTAGACAGTGGCACTATTTCAGGATACTTTCAGTATCCCGAACTAGCATTTTCCACATCTTGACAGTGCGCCCGTTATTTCAAAATAGCTTTCGAAATAACGGACACATTATTCCAACATCCTGGTAAATCTCATTCCACGAGGATTAAGGAATATTTTGGAATAGTGGTTTATTTGGCACTGTGTAGACAGCACCAAATTATGAAATAAGCCTTTTTGAAAATAACTCAAAATAAGCTATGCAATTCGCATCACTCAAATTGAGTAGCTTATTTCGAGCTAAGGGTATAGTGTAGATGCACCCTAAGTGTTCTGAAATGCCATATATTGAAGGAAAAAGAATTCTGGAAGATACATTAATTTTAAAAAAATCTTTTATCTGAAGAGTTAAATTTTGCAGATTCTGCCAGTACTATCATTCTATCTCTTTGAGATCAAAGCCAGGTCATGTTTCCCCTTTTAATGATCAACTCTTACCTTTGTACTGCAAGATGTTTTTTTCAAGAAAGCTCAACAAGCTCTGTTGATTAACATGTCACTGCTCAGTAATTCAGGTGCAGCTGATCTCAATTAGATCATAAATCATCTACACTGGTGTCCTTCATAGTATTTCTCCACCTTCAGAAATAGTTTCTTTTTCTTCATGATTGGCTAAACCATGCCCCAGTCTTCTTTTTAAGTTTTCATTTCTCATGAAATACAGCAGAAGGCATCCGGCAACTGGTCTAAGTACAATTTATTAATGTTTTTCTCATGTAGTCGTTCTGGTTCTTGAGAAATTTTCTAAACGATTTATTCCAGTTTAGCAGGGGATTACTTGGAGTATGGGAAAAGCTGGTCGATCCCTGCTCCTAGGTACTTTTTTCAGACTTAAAAATAAGTCTGTTAAACTGTTCTGAAGGTAAAATTTATGCCTAATTCTCTTCTTCCAAGATTTCATAATCAGCTATCTTAAGATACACTTCTTCTCACTATATATAACTACAGCCATAAATAAATGGAAATACTGGGTACACTTAAGATGACGCCTACATTTATCAACAACAATAAAAATGCCAGTCCACTTGTCACAATAATATTTCCAGGGTATACTAAATGGCTTAATGGGAGCAAACATTCACCATTTAGAATAGGTCATAAGAGACTCTCTGGAGAGAATACCTGACAGGTGCAACTAAAAAAGATTACACTGTGACATCCACCCACTGGTACATACAGATGGCAAGATGGAGATGAGCAACAGACAGCAGGAGACCCAAGGTGTCTCTACACAGCCAAGTTATTTCGGAATAATGGCTGTTATTCCAAAATAACTATGCGAGTGTCTACATAGCAATTCCGTTATTTTGAAATAATTTTGAAATAATGGATGGCTTATTCCGACTTCTGTAAACCTCCTTCTACAAAGAATAATGCCTATTCTGAAATAGCTATTTTGAAATAAGGCGTGTGTAGACGCTACTCTTCTGCTATTTCGAAATAGACCTTCACCGGGACCATTCTAAGTTATTCCTCCTGGGGCTGGCTCTAAATTGAGATAGCACGTATACATTAGGGAAGCCTGCCTCAGAATAATTTTGAGACTTCGCTGCAGTGTAGACATGCTATTTCAAATTAAGCTATTTTGGAATAACTATTCCGGAATAGCGTATTCTGAAGTAACTGTACAGTGTAGACATAGCTTCAGTGTGCAGAAAGCAAGACTGAATGTTATTCACAAAGAAGACATGCTCCAGAGAACACTAGCACTACTGAATAATGACGTCTAGTCATGTGACCAAACTGAACACACCAAGTTCTTTTGATGTAGGCTTTTATTGAAGACTCCAAGCAATGGCCAAAGATAGACTGTGCAATTGCTCTAGAGGCCGGAAAAAAACAAATAAAAAAATTACCACTCTCTGTCTCTATTAGTTATACCAAATAGTCACCGTGTACAATGAGGGTAAAATTCACCCTTCCCCTGCACAGAATCTGAATAAATGGCCCATAATTTGAACAGCAGCCACTGGCCATTTGGACCCTTTATCAGTGGGATCAAGAACACTAGCCCCACTGAAGTCCATGTTTACACATGCTTACACTGCCCCCTTCCCCAGCCTGTTCCAACACCCTACTCCCCATCGGTTCCAAACTCCTTTCTGTATCGCACTGAGGATGCTGCCTCATTCTGTACTCTCCCTATTAAAGAGCTACTTCAGTGTGACCATGTCCTTTTGTGGCCATGAATAAGGAGTGAATAATCAGCTCTAAAAGAAATTCCATTAACATTTTGATTTTCAGCCAGCCATGTGTACTACTGAATCCAGAACACACAGGCCATATTAATACCCTGTTGGAAAAAGTTAATGGTAATAAGGAGAGGAAGAAACTCTGCTTTGATATTCAAATAAAGAGGATGAAAGAATATGTTTCCTGAGCTACTTTTTCCTTTCATAAAAAGACAAGTGCAAACAATTTGAACTTAGCTGTGGATGAATGAATGGCTGCCCTTCCATTTGTGGTAAGACAAAAAAAAAAGTTGAACCCTGACTGCCTTTATCTTCTTACACAGAGTGGCATAAAATTTAAACTAACTTAAGGGTTTAAATTGTCCCTGACATCCTCAAAGCTACATTTTTCTCCTCTTGTTCTGGGCTGTGTTACTTACTTCATAACCCAGGTGATTACCAAAGGCTAAGTTCTCCTCTCACCCTTGCAAAGTCACACCTGTATAACTCAGAAGAATTTATGTTTGGCAACTGATATGGTAATCTGGCAGTAAGAGCGGATATAAGGCTGGATGTCTTTCTAAAAAGATATGCTCTAGCTCAGCGGGTATCTAGGCTGTCCGTGAGTCATGTCTGGGGCTCCACTGCACTATTCCTCCTCCTCCTCAGTGACTCCAGCATGCCATAGAACAACTCCTCTCCCTCCCAATGGCTCCTTCATGCCACAGCATGCAGGAGGTGCTGGGAGGGAAGGGGCAGAGTGGGAAAGGGGTACTTGTGTGGGGGTGAATGGGGGAAGAGGATGGCCAGGGTGGGGCAGGGATGTAGCTATGGGTGGGCCGGGGGTGGGGGGACACTGGCCAACCCATTTAGCATCCAGGTCCATCCCCAGCTCTACTCTGATCCTATTGCCTGCCATGCTTTGTCTACTTGTCTGGCACTCCTGTTGGGAAGCAGGGTCAGGGTGTACCCTACTCCACCCGCCTGGTGCTCCTGAAGCCCATACTCCAATCTCACATCTCAGCTGGAGAGCTGAGTGAGCAGGCAGAATGGAGGAAGCCCCTGGACTCCTATTCTGCTCCTTGGAAGGAGCACTGGGTGGGCAGAGTGGGTGGGGATATGAGGGCACCCATTTTTCCAGGACCCCGTAATCAGCCACTGGATGGAAGGCAAGCATCAGGCAGCCAGCAGCAGTAGATGAGATCTTAAAAAAGCTAGGCCTGACACCTGAGAGAGCTGGGCTCGGCCTGGTGTGATGGGACCTGGAAGAGAGCTGGGAGCCATGTGTGTATATCCAGGGCCCTGGGAAGCTCCTGGCCCTGGGGTCCTTCCATTGATCCACACAAGGTAGACTCCCGTGGGTTGGGGGGAGACAGGCCCCCCCATCCCCAACATAGATGCCCACCCACGCAAGATCAGAGTGCACCCATATACCCCATGCTGGTTACACCACTGGAGTAGGGCCTTGGGGAAGTAATAGAGTGGGGGCAGGGTTTGGGGCTGAGAAGAGGGGCTAGAGGTCCATGAAAAAATATAAATCAAAATAGGAGTCCTTGACTTGCTAACGTTTTAGAACCGCTGCTCTAGCTCAAACAGAAGTCATGGGTTTGATGCAGAAGTTACTGGCTGAGGATCTCTGTCCATGTTATACAGGAGGCCAAACTAAATAATCATAAAGGTCCAACTAATCACAAAATCTTTGAATCTATCACTCTTTAAAATATGCCTCAACAGATAAGTTTAGATGAAGAAATACAGTCAGTCATTTTCCCTCACTCTCCTTGAGAGGGTTGCATGGTGTCTAGTATGTACCAAATTCAATCTGCTTACCAGATTTGGGGTTGCATAATACTGGGGGGCTACTACTGAGAGTAGGACTGCTGCTGAAGTAACCGCTACTGCCACAACTGCTCATGCTACTCCTTCTTACTGCTGACACAATCTTTATCTCCTTGGTGGGACTCACTGTGGAAAGGAGACAGAAAATACAGGGAGAAAGGAAACTCATCTTGATTCTTTTGGCACATTTCCCCTGCTTTGTTTGAAACAGTGGTTCCCAAACTGTGCTTCGTGAGCCCTTGGGGGTTCATGAAATGTTTTAGGGGGTTCTCAGTAAACATTTTGTAATGGCAGAAGAAAAAGGGTTTGCACACCATCCTGGGACTAAGGTCATTGCAACCAACATAAAGGCAGTAATGTCCCTCAGTTAGTCAATACTCAGGCATTCTCTGTGGTGCGCTGTTTTGCTCCAGTGAGATGTGACTGAATCTTCTCCTTTACTAGTTAATTCATTTGTAAAGTGTTCTCAGCGTGGTATTTTTATCTGAACTGTCACACACCCAATAATGGACAAGCGCCTGAAAATAGAAAGTGTAAAAACACAAGAAAATGAACATTTGACATCAGCTAGTGTTTCATCAAGTCCAAAGAGTAGAAAATCTTAGTCAAATAATCATGGCAGTCCTGGAAAGTTGCTTATGAAGAAAAGAAAATATGACGATTATATAAAATATTGTGATCAAGAGTGTTCCAAACCACAGTGTGTAATTTGTGGTGATGGTCTAGCAAACATCAGTCTCAAAACATCTCTTTTTTGGTGCCACTTAGAACTAGGCACCCCCTGCACAATTCAATAAGGCTTTTGATTTTTTTCAAATTAAAATTAGCCTAGTGGAAAAGTGACATTACCCATTTTGTACCCAAAGCAAGTACTGATAGTGAAAATGAACTGGAATAGTAATACTGAGTGAGCAACCAAGTAGCAAAAACACCAGAAGCCCCACATCATAGCAAAGAGCTTGATTGGTCCATGTATGCAAGAGTTCATTGAATATTTGGAGAAAAGGCTGCAAAAGGATTGACATATTACCTTTGTCCAATAATATGTTGTCCTGAAGAATTAATTATATGTATACAGAGTGAAAAATAGACCATACTATGCTACACAGATGGATAAATCTACTCTCTCTTTTGCTAGTGTTTTGTACATTAAATGAATGAAGATATGAGTGAAGAGAACTTGTTGCTTTGCCAACCATTGAAGGAATGTACAACTGGAGAAGATATCTTCAATCTGACTAATGCATATTTTCTCAAAAAGGAAACAGATTGGTCTCATTGCTTAGGCATTTGCAGTGATAGGGCCAAATCAAGTATGGGTACATATACCAGATTTGTAGCTTGAACAAAAAAGATTGTATCAACATAAGAACATAAGAACGGCCGTACTGGGTCAGACCAGGAGGTTCTTCTAGCCCAGTATCCTGTCTACCCACAGTGGCCAGCACCAGGTGCCCTGGAGAGGGGGGACAAACAGAGGCCAAGGACACCATTTTATCCCCTGGCTAATAGCCTTTTATGGACCTAACCTCCATGAAATTATCTAGCTTCTCTTTAAACTCTGTTATAGTCCTAGCCTTCACAGCCTCCTCTGGCAAGGAGTTCCACAGGTTGACTACACGCTGTGTGAAGAAGAACTTTCTTTTATTAGTTTTAAACCTGCTACCCATTAATTTCATTTGGTGTCCTCTAGTTCTTCTATTTAGGGAACTAATAAATAACTTTTCTTTATCGGCCCTCTCCACACCACTCATGATTTTATAACATCTCTTGGACTCAGTGCAGTAGCCATATACAAGCCCTCATGGCAAAATGTATGCCTGAGGGACTGAAGGAAGTGCCAGACAATGCTGTGAATTTCATAAAATCATGGCCACCAAATTCCAGAATATTTCCCATATTCTGTGAAGAAATGAGTAGCGTACACAATTGTCTGTTGACCCATACTGAAGTTAAAGGGCTCTCATAGGGCAAAATCCTAGCTTATTTAGCAGACATTTTCTCCAGGATTAATGACCTAAATTTATCTCTTCGGGCCTCAATACAACAGTTTTTAATGTGCAAGACTGAGTTAAATCTGTGATAAAGAAGTTGCAGTTCTGGAAAAGGTGTTTGGAAAATAATCAAACTGAGCATTTCATTACTCTCCATGGCTCTCTGGAAAAACATTAACTCTGGGTCAGTGCACAAAAAACCCCCACAATATAACTACACCGTGCACTATATTTGGGTCAGTGCACAAAAAAACCACAATATAACTACACCGTGCACTATATAAAATCAATATAACTGCAAACAACTTTCACAACATTGAGGGAATACTTTCCAGATATGTCAGGCAATAGAAAGCACTGAGGAGCAAGAGAAATTGATTGAGATCTTCTATGATAAACTGAAAAGGAATTTCAGCAGACTGCCATTGATTAACTTTTGGTTGCTTTTAAGACATGAGTTCCCCTGCTGACAGAAAAAGCTATTACAATTTTGTTACCATTTTCAACAACATACTTATGGAAGAAACCACTTTCCTTGTACACACATCTGAAAAGTAAATACAGAAGCAGACTTGATGCCAAACCAGATCTGATATGTTTATCTTTCTCCAGTGGTTCCATGCTTCCAAGAGCTAAGCAGGTCAAAGCAAGCACATTCATCTCACTGAGGAAATTTAAACTTCAAGACTCTTTATGAGAAATGGAAAGGGAGGTGGTTATTTTTTGCTGCTTTTAAAAATAAATATGCTTCTAGTGTTTTAAAATAATTATGAAGAACAATGTAAGGTTGTTGTAGTTGTGAGTTTGCATTGCTGAAGACCTGAATACTGGTGGTAGGAGGAACTCTTTACTTCAGTGGACTTGTTTGCACTGCTGAAGACCTGAATACTTGTGGTAGGAGGAACTCTTTACTTCAGTGGACTTCTTAAATACCTTCATGCTGTTTCACATCTAATACTCCTTGATGAAATGTAGGAATCTTGTTTGATTATTATAATAGGATCAAACCACGAAAGTGAAATCCTGGAAAAGTGTTGCTGTTATAATAATGTGATAAAATTAATAATGCAATAATAAATAGTAATGTAATAACGGTGTGTAATAAGTGTGTCATAAAAATATATTTCTATGATCATTGCTTTTATAATTTATTCTCAGATAATGGAAATATTCATTTGTAGGTGAGGATTTGCAAGATTTTTCATGGAAAGGATTTACGGGTTGTTAAAGTTTGGGAACCACTGGTTTAAAATAACATCAGAACATGTTTTTATTTTCAATAATGCAATCATACAATCATAGTCAGAACACTCACCTATGTGCTGCAGGAATACATGATGTATGCACGAAAATATATATTTTACTCGGATATGTTGCATTACTACATGATCCATTTTTAGCTCATTTAATTCTCTGCAGTGCTTCCACCACTTTGATTTCTACATGCTAGTGTAACAGAGTGAAATAGGCATCTACTAAGTAGAATATTTTCTGCAATTATCCCCTGCTTTCTTCTTCATTTTATTCTGCTTCCTGCTGTAATAGTATATAACTTGTTCAGGCATTCTTCCCTCCACCCCCAAATTATAACATATAATTTATGCCAAAACCCTTTGGCTAAAACTATTTTAAAAAGCAAATAAAAAAAAAATCTTCTAAACTGACTGATTTCTGCCTGTGTAAAAAATGTAAACCTGAAATCCTTTATTTATATGATAGCAAAGAACAACACGAGGCAGCTAATTCTCTGAAAAACCAAGCAGGGAGAAGAACCTGTTTACTGGGTATGATATTTATTCATGGATGAAATTCTGAGCACTTCTCTTCAGTTAAATCTGCCTCATGCTAGAGTGAAGGGAGCCAACCTTGACACCTATCTGCAAGGAAAAGTTAAACAGTGAAGAAGTTAAAGGCAAAGAACCAAGGAGTCACCTGACTGAAAACTGGTGTGTTTTCTGTTGTCATGGTTCTGCTTGCGCAGGCAAAAGGGACTGTCATGACTTTCTGGCATCAAACGGGATTTCTCAGGAAGCAGCTCCATCAGCCTCCGTCGCCGGCGGAAATTCATTCTGAACTGGTAGAGCAGGTTACTATCTGTAAAATGGTGCTTATTGGACACTGAGGAGAGAAAAATGAGTGAAAACTCTGTTGGGCAGAACACAAAGTAGGGAGCAAATAGTATACATAAAGTTGCCATTTACATGCACGCATGCTCCTTTATGATAGCAGCACTAAAGATACTGTCTACACACCAAGTGAAGGTGTGATTGCAACACAGATCTCTGTGCTAACATGGGTAACTATAGCATTGTTTTGAAATTGTTGCACAGGCTTCAGTGCAGATTAGTTGCCTGATTATATACCCAGGCTTCCCTATGGCAGGCCATTGTGTGTGCTGAAGCCTGTGCCACCACATACACATGGCTACCATTGCCTAACCTAAATAGATTAAAGTAGCACAGATATGCACACCCATGCTACAATCTCATCTTTGCTTGCCCTTGATACTCGTTGGCTACGTCTACACTGGCCCCTTTTTTGGAAGGGGCATGCTAATTTTGAAAGTGGGAATAGGGAAATCCGCGGGGGATTTAAATATCCCCCGCGGATTTAAATAAACATGTCCGCTGCTTTTTTTCCGGCTTGGGGAAAAGCCGGAAAAAAAGCGTCTAGACTGGCCCGATCCTCCGGAATAAAGCCCTATTCCGGAGGATCTCTTATTCCTACTTCAAAGATTCTAATGACACCATTATTATGGTGTTCAATTCTGCTCAGCTCATCATTTTGGATACTTTCATTTTGTAACAACAAAATACAGTTAAGGAATTATCCCTGTTTTTAAAATGAAGAAAGAGACAGAGAGGTTGGAGTCTTGTCCGTAATCGTAAAGAACCTGCTGTCAGAGCCAAGGCTAAAATTCAGGAACATCTATTTCCAAGCCCCATTATGAAACCCTTAAAACATTTCATAAATTATTCCCAGAAGTATTGTATTGTCATAACAGAGTAATGTAAAACAACCTCTTGAAACTTCTCTTTACATTAATCTTATAGACAATTTACTGAAGTTGAAGAAGACATGCTATATACAGCCCGTTCTAAAGACATTTTTATGCCAGCTCTCATGGGACTGAGCCATCATGAATATTTACAGGTAAATATATACTCCAATTACCAAGTATTTATTATTATTATATCACTATAATAATTACTTCCAGTTCAATTTTAATATTTCTGTACTGCATGCAATTCTTCTCAAGTAAATGTATAGTCTCTGTCTTCTTACTCTCTTTTATTAGTACAATTGTTTGGACAATCTTAAGAAATCATGACTCCTGGATCATTAGAAAATCAACACACATTGCCACTACAGATGACAAAAAGTAGTAAAAAATTGTAGAGTAACAATTGCCCATGACACACATTAACCTAATTTCCTATTTTAAGATATCCATCTGTATCTTACAATAATAAAGCTTGTTTTGACTAATATACTAAGTAACCATGAGATAGAGGTTACAGACAGAATGGGCTATTCTCATCCTTTGTGTAACTCTGTTGTAGACAATGGAGTTATGCCAGGGATGAGTTTGATCTAGTATAAGCATATAACTGGAAAGAGCAAAGTTACAATGATGCCGTCATCATCTGTTGTAGCAACACAAAAAGATATTCTTTATCATTGGAATATTCTCTCATCTCACATAAATAATTACAGAATTCTGGGTGCTCATTTGACTGTTACAAAATGTTTCCCAAATTCTGAGTTATACCCATGTTAAAAACATAAATAACAGAGTGCAAGCTCTCAGTGTCAGGAAGAATAAATATTTGACTCCCAGATAATGTTACTTAATATGTGTTCCTTGCCAAAATTCAGTGGCAAAGTGAAATTAAGTAGAGTTTGAAAAATCAAGCTCTTTAAAAGGAAGGAAATTCCAAAAGTTAACAATGATTACTCAATTTCAGTTGCCTCCTTGTGCTTATGCTGTCAAATAAGGGATTCTTTAAAAGATATTACTGTGGGGCACTGAGTATTTTCTGCTTTATTGTTGCTTGATGGCTTCCATCTGAGTCATTATACTTTGAGACTTCACCTTTAGGGCTGAAATTCTCCATATTTGGTCTCTGCCCACATGTGACTTTATCTGGAGTATATGAGCATATATAATCACTTGTCTTTTGCTAAGCCTCTTAATGTGGATCTACAGAGCATGGGCGCTTATCATCTTACCTATCACATATTTTAAGCACATATCTAGGCTCACTCGCATAGATCCAAACCAACATCATATTTGTTAAGTCAGCAGAGATGTTTCAGACGGGTAGCCGTGTCAGTCTGTTTCAGCAAAAACAATGAGTCCTGTGGCACCTTAAAGACTAACAAATGTATTTGGGCATAAGCTACTCCTGTGTGTGATATCCGGGATATGTGTACTGAATTAAAAATATATAATACAAATCCTAAGTATTTTTGTAACTTTTTAAGCACCAATTTATGGTACCTTCTCAATTATTGGTAGAGCTTTCCTTAGTACCTTCTCAATTATTGGTAGAGCTTTCCTTAGTTTCAAAGTATGCACATCTAAGTTAATTTTAAAGTTAACAACCTTATCCACTGAATTACACCTAAGAAAGTTCATGCTAGGCAGGTCTGTGTGTTTCTTTATGACTGCACAAATTGTTCAGGAAATTGTGCTTGCATCTGACAAAGTGGGCACCAGCCTACAAAGATTATGCTCAAATAAATTTGCTAGTCTTTAAGGTGCCACAGGACTCCTCATTGTTTGAGCAAAAATGCCTCCACCGGTTTTGAGCACAAAAAGAATGAGTGATAATGGAAATCAATTTTTAAACAACCACAAAGATAAAGTGGTAGCATTTGAAACTTAGGCTATAGCTACACTACAAAGAAAAGTCAGAAAAAAATACGCAAATTGTGAACCACAATTTGCGTATCTTTTTCCATTTTTCTTTCGAAAAAGGCTTTTCTGAAATTTGGCATGTCTACATGGTGCCAAATTTCAGAAAAAAACCCTCCTCTTTCGACACATCCCTTCTTCCTCATAAAATGAGGTTTACAGGGATGGCAAAAGAGCATGATTGAGTTTCTGAATTTTTTTTCAGAAAAGTGGATGAGTTCCTTGGATGCAGCATTGCTTTTCTGGGATCCTCTGGTATCCCGGAAAAGAGCTGCACTCTAGACATAGCCTCAGTATGGAAACAGCCTTCAAAAAGGAGAAGCACTTAGCCTTGTTCCTGAGGTTACATATTGGGAATATATAATCATTTGTCTTTTGCTAAGCCTCTTAATGTGGACCTACAGAGCATGGGTGCTCATCTCATTTGTCAGCTTACCCATCACATATTTTGCTTAAGTCAGCAGAGAGAAGAGAGGAAATAATCCTGAACAATTTGCATAATTACAAAGAGATACACAGATTTGCCTAGCATGGCCTTTTTTAGGTGTAATTCAATGGATAAGATTGTTAAACAACCTTAAAACTAACACAGATGTGCATACTATGAAACTAAAATACAAATCCTAAGTCAGTACATACATTCTGGATGACACACAGATGTAGAGCTAAGAAAAAATGCATGATGGGTCTGTTGCCCTTCTCAGCTATTTCGCATGGGTGCAGCTTCAATGGCATTACTCTTGATTTACATTAGTGTGGCCATGTCTACATTAGGAAATTATTTCAAAATAGCTAAATTTGACTTAACTCCTGATTTTACAAAATCGATATAGCGTGTCCCCACTATGGGGAAGCCTCAAAATTAGTCTAAGGCAGGCTCCATTACAGTGGACTCACTATCTCGACTTAGAGCCCCAGGAAGCACTGGGGATTAATAAATTCAAATTATTCTGGGAGTAGTTATTTTGAAATAGTGGCACCGGAGTATCCACACTAATGGTATTTCAAAATAACTATTTCAAAATTGGTGTTATTCCCCAAGAAAAGCAGGAGTACAGATTTTGAAATAAGTGGCTCCTTATTGCTAATGTAGACACTCTGTTTATAAATTCGACCTAAGGGGTGGTTATTTCGAAATAAAGCTCTAGTGTAGACCAGGGCAGTAAGTGCAAGGCAGCCTTTGAGTTGTACTGGAACTAGAGCTGTTTTTTATGGCTCTATCTGTACATTATTTGCCAAATACAACAAATAAAATACAACACAAACTGCAATTTACCAAATAACTTATACAATTTGTAACATTGACATACAATTTTGCGATCAGCAAAGGCAATATACAACTCTCAGATTTGCAGCGAGAGAGAAGTACAGCAAAAGAACAAGTATTATGTTTATTCAAATTTCACAGAACTGGAGAGGATTTACAAAATGTGAAAAGCCACTTTAATAAATTAGGTGACTCATGCTTGAAAAAAAAACAAGTAATTTTCACAATCACTTTTTTTCTTCAGGGTACATCTAGACTGCAGAGCTTTCCCGGGATATCAGAGGTATCCAGGAAAACCTGTGCTGCGTCCAAGGAATGCGTCCGCTTTTCCAAAAAAAGTCGGAAAAGCAGATGCATTTTGTCGGCATCCCTGTAAACCTTGTTTTATGAGGAAGAAGTGATGTTCTGAAAGAGGGTTTTTTTTTCCTAAATTTGGTCCTGTGTATACAGGTCAAATTCTGGAAAAGCCTCTTTTGGAAGTGTTTTTCCTAAATTTGGTCCTGTGTAGACAGGTCAAATTCTGGAAAAGCCTCTTTTGGAAGTAAACCAGAGTTTCTTTTTCCAATTTATCTTTGTAGTCTAGACATAGCCTCAATCTCACCCACAATTTCAGTTCCACACAATTTCAGTGCTCATATCTCATCCATCACCACAATGTGGTGATTAATGCTTTCTGCTACTTGAAAGCTGAGATTCCTCCCCTTGGACAGATTCACTAGTACACTCCAGCTGCTTTCTATCCTGCAGGCATGAGAAGCAGCTGTTAACTCAACATAACCACCAACTAAAATGGGTTTATAACTCACTGGAGAAGAGCAAAGGAACCAGAGGTTTAGATGAATCTGCTTGCTTAGCAGTGCTCAGCTCAACAAGCTGGAAATGGCAAAATGTTAGCAAACTATATGGGATTTTAAGACCTGATGTCTCATG